AAAAAAACGAAGAGAATTTTGGTGGGCACCGGATATAGATTGACTGAAACCACAGAGGCAAGACAAGAACTCGAAAGAGTCGAGTTGTCTACATAATTCTTCACTAAAAACTACCCATCACTGGTCACATGCTGCTAAATACGTGCACACGGTTTTCATAACAAATGGGCATACAAGGACACGAGCATTAACTGTAGAAATCATCAACCGAAACAAGCATCTACCCAGAGAAGTAGCAAAAGAGAGCGCATTTCGACCAAATTTACACGCCCAATGTTAGAACAATTAAGGTTCCGTTCGTTTGGCGGAAAATGTTTTCCGGATTTTCCAGTGTTCGGGGGGCGGAAAATAACTTCCCACGGAAAACATTTTCCCTCCCATGGGCAATTTTGCCTTCACTTTGGGGGAAAATGATTTCCTCTTTATAATTTCCTCTTTTCAAAAAGAGGAAATCATTTTCCCCCAAAGTGAAGGCAAAATTGCCCATGGGAGGGAAAATGTTTTCCGTGGGAGAAAGAGTTGATCGGCGGTCACCGCCGTCGGGCGCCTTCGGCCGCCCGTCGCGGTCGCCGCGCCGCCGGCAGCGTGGTCGGCCACCGCCGATCAACGGCCGCCCGGTCGCCGTCGCCCGATCGACGGTCGCCGTCGCCGATCGCCGCCACCGGTCACCGCCGCCACCCGCCGGTCCCCGGCCACCACCCGTCGCCGATCGCCACAGCCAGTCGTCGGTCGCCGGTCACCGTCGGTCGTTGGCCGCCGCCGGCCATCGGTCGTCGATCACCACTGATCGCCACCCGTCACCGCCTGCTACCTCCGATCGCCGCCAGTTGCCGATCGCCGCCCGTCGCCGCCCACCACCGCCGCCGGTTGCCGATCGGCGGTCGCCGAACACCATAAAATATTTTCCGAAACTTTTTCAGATTTTAGCCGAACACCAGAAAATTGTGTTCCAGGAAAATATTTTACAGGAAAATGACTTCCGGGAAAATATTTTCCAAAAGGAGAATATTTTCTGCCAAACGAACGGAGCCTAAATATTAAATCACGCATTCATTTGACAGCTTAAACTTTTAGAACAGTTGGCTATGGTCCCACCAAATCTCACATGGTATCAAAACATAGAAGTCCTAAGTTCAAATCTTTCCAGGCCCCATTTATCTTCACAATTAAATATGTCCACGCGTACTACTAGGCAAACAGACCAGACTAAGCGTGAAGGGGAATGTTAGGATTAAATATTAAATCACGCCTTCATCTAACAGCTTAAATTTTTAGAACAGTTGATCCCACAAATATCAAGTTTAATGAGAGCTTGGGAACCATAAATGTATCGGGCAAGGATAATGTGGACGTCGAAATGTTCCCTGTATGACTAACTATCATCTTAGAGTTATCGGCTATATGAATAATAGGTGCTTGTAAAGTGTATGATTTTGACTTAAATAAATGTGAGTCGGAGGTCATGTGATTACAGCAGGCAGAATCAAAGAACCAAGAATTTGAAGTACCTGGGGTGACTGACAGAGCAGAAGGATTGGAATTACCAGATTCTTGAATAATGGAACGAACTGTGAACCGAAGATCATCTAACGATAGAGTGACAAATGAACTATTAGAGGAATCATCTATGGTAGCAACAGCAGTGGATGAGCAGCGTGCATGCAGAGCACTAAATCGGGATCGGTTGTTTGTTCCCATAGGTTGTTTAGATTGTAACTGATAACAATTGGAAGCACGATAACCAAGTCGACGACAGTGCGTACAATAAGGCTTGCGCCATGGGGAGGAACCAGAAGTTGCAAGTACTGCATCTGTAGGAGTGGAAACTGATAGAGTTGCACGTTGCGCCTTTAAAGTAGCTAGTTGAGTTTCCTCGGTCAATAATTCCGAAACAATTGCTCGAAGATGAGGTAAGGGATCCCGATGCAAAAGTGATGCTCTCACTGGTTCAAACTCATCATTAAGAGCCATCAAAAATTGCATAGCATGCATACGATCACGATATTCAGCAAACTTACAGGCATCAGCAGTCGACTCCCAATTTGGCTCAGATAAGGCTAGTTGATCCCATATAGCATGCATGGAAGATAGAAAGTTGCTAATAGACTGACCTGTCTCTTGATGCATGCGATGTAAATTCCCTAACAGTTGATATTGATGAGCAATATCTGAAGTGGAATAACGACTAGCAAGAAGATCCCAAGCTTCCTTTGCTGTATTTAGGAGACCGAACTGAAGTTTGATAGATGGAATCGAAGTGTTTCGAAACCATGTGAGTATCTGATGATTCTTGCTCTCCCACTCCTCCATACGTTCAACAAATTTATCATCACTCTCACCAGTAGTCTGAACAGGCTCATGAATATTTCCACTGACATAACGCCAAAGTTTACGTCCCCTTAGAAAACTTGATATTTCTTGAGCCCATAAAATATAGTTTGATTCATTCAAGATGGTCCGAATGGGCATCGAGACTTCCAATCTATCCATGATATGCAATATACTAGCATAACCCAGCAAATTCTATAATGAATTCGAGGAAAACCAATACTTGCAAGGCTGATATGGAGAAATTAAGCCCGAAAATAGATTTAGAACGTTGAAATACCTCAAGAACCGGTCTGAAAACACCAAGAACCGGTGATATATGGGTCGAATCCCATCAAATCTCACACCCAACACGCACAGCTCAAGCACAAACACACCAACTTCGCCACCCGAAAGAGCCGATCAGCACTCGAAGCGACGAAAGCAGGAACAAGTGCAACAGTGCCGAACCTGTTGCTTTCAGTGGGTAGCGGCAGCGAGAGGGGAGAGAGAGCGTGAGCTCGAGGATTGGGGTCTCCGACCCCGAAGAGGGTCGTCTTTCCCTTCTGGGGCCTGCTGGTCCTACGCGCCGGAGGAGGAGGAGGAGGAGACGCGAGGGGAATCGACGGAGGAGCTGAGGAAGCAAATGGAAATGGAAGACGGGGGCTCGAGGCTTCTCTTGTTTCTCTACGCAGACCAGTTCGAGTGATTGAGGAAGAAGACTACGACCGATCGAGGGGGACAACGTGGGAAAGAAAAGAAAACCTAGGATTCCCAGAAGAAGAAGACAGGACAAGCACGCGATCGCCGATCGATCGATCAATAGCGACAAAGCTTCGGAACGAACCTGAAGGGGGCTGAGGATTAGACGCCATGGGAGTTGCAGACAAGCAGCGACATGTGATAGAGAGAGAGATTTGACCGGCGCCTTTGAATCGAAGGCCGGCGTGGTTGTGGTGGGGACGATGAGCGCAATGAAACCCCAAATTTTAACGGCGTTGAGTCAGCGCCAGTAGTCTCAAGTCTCCTCCTTTATTTTTGTTTTTTCCTCCTTTTCTCGTGTTACTTTCCGACAAACGGAAAAGAAAAACAAGAAAGAGTCGCCGCTGGAAAGGAAAGGAACTGGATTCGTTCTCGCGTGATGGGAAAGAAACTAATTAATGCGATGACGGTACAGCCGGTCCTAAATTTTGATCTATTATTTAATATCGTTCATGAACTTTTTATTTGTGTAATATAGTCTCTGAACTTTGGTCTAATATGAAAATCGCCCCTAGACTTCTAATTTGTTCAATGTGGTCAATGAATTATTGGTAAATAATTTTCAATGCAGTCCCTAATTATAGGGAAAATTCCAAATAAGTACCTGAAGTGTCATTATTTTCTCAAATAAAGGCATGATGTGGACATCGTCTTAAATAAGGGCCTGAAGTGCCATCATTTTCTTAAATAAAGATCTGAAGTGAACCTTGTCTCAAATAAGAGCCTGAAGTGGTCATATTAATCTCCAATAAGGGTATCACCTTGCTAGCTAAGGGGCATTTTCGTCCTTTATATTTTTTTTGAATTTTTTTCCTTTTTTTCTTTCTTTTTTTCCTTTTTCTATTTTTTTCTTTTCCTTTTCCTTTTCTTTTTCTTTTTTTTTTCTTTTCCATCTTTCCGCCGCCGGCAGTGGAAGTCATCGGACTCCGGCGAGGGCAGCCTAGGCGAGGGCAACCCTCCCCCAATGCTGGCGAGGGCCACCCTCGCCCTCACCTGGGCTAGTGAGGCTAGGCCGAGGTTCACCCTCGCCTGACACTAGCGAGGGTGGCCCTCGCCTAAGGCCAGCAGATGTCGTCGACGATGACCGGAGGAGGGAAGCGAGAAAAAGAAAAAAATGAAAAAAAAAAAGAAAGGAAAAGAAAAGGAAAGTAAAAAAATAAAAAAATATACTTAAAATTTTTTTGATCAAAATACCCCTTCTCCGACGGTTGGAATAGTCACCGGTTGGCCACAATCCTTATTTGAGACGATTTGTCCACTTCATGCACTTATTTGAGACAATTTAGCCACTTCAGATCCTTATTTGAGACAAAGTTTACTCCACGCCTTTATTTGAGAAAACGATGGCATTTCAAACCTTTAATTATATGAAAATGTTTGAAAGTTCAAGAATCACATTAAATATTGGATCAAAATTTATGAATCATATTGAATGAAAATAAAAATTCATAGACGACATTGCACATTAGACTAAAGTTTATGGACCACATTAAACAAATTAATAGTTCATGGATGACAATGCACGTCGGGCCAAAGTTTAGGTACCATTTGCATCATTTTTCCTTAATTAATAATAGATACATTAAAACCCATTGTTAAATCTACTTACTAGGCGATTGGACATACTAACAATCAACATTTAAATACACTAATTGATTTAAATAATCGTTGATAAAATGCCATTTCATCCGTTAAACCAATTTTTAAAAACGAGTCTTAATATCTTCCGTTGGCTCTGTAATCATTAGTTTATCACATAAATATCAATCTTGTACGCCCTTGTTGGCCAATTTTTATATATCAATTTTTTGCAACCTTTTTTCTATATCAATTTTTTAATCTTTTTTTTCTATTTATTTTTGGCATTACGTGGAATTGGAGGCTTTTGTAGGAACTTGCACGTGGGCGGGATTGGGTGAGTTTAACACTCCACGTAAGATTTGCAAGTAAACCACCCACAAATTGACACGTGACAATCGGGGCCACATGTCAGGGAAAAAACTTGTCTCTCTCCTCTCTCTCACGCGCTCTGCTCTCCGTCTCTCTGCAACCCCACGCTCAACCCCCTCTCTCTCTAACACCTTCACTCATGCCCAATGCACGACTCGCTTTGCTCTTTCTAGTCGCCATCGCCTCCGATCCATCTCCGGCGACAACTTCCCAAGATATTCAACCTCCGAGGACTCCGGAATTGTGGTCAACGCGCCGAACTTGTCGTACCCAACGTAAAACCTGTCATCCTCACCGACGACGCGCGAGTACAGACTGCCACGCCGAACGCCGGGGTAGAGCTCGTCTTCGGCTTGAAGACCGAACGCAGCAGCTTCTGGATCGACCACGAGATTCGGGAGTGCTTCTTCGCCGTCGTCGAGGTCGCCGGTTACGGCCGCGAAGGAAGAAGGGGAAGGCGCGGCAGTCGGGGAGGTGAGGCATGGATAGGGTGCGGCGGAGATGGCGGAGTCAAGCTTGATGGACTTGAGTTCGAAGGAGAGATGAATTGAAGAAGGCTTATAAAAACATGAGCAAAGGTGTTAGAGAGAGGGGGGGTTGAGCGTGGGTTGCAGAGAGATGGAGAGCAGAGCGCGTGAGAGAGAGAGGAGAGACACAAGTTTTTTCCCTGACATGTGGGCCCCCGATTGCCACGTGTCAATTTGTGGGTGATTTACTGCAAATCCTACGTGGAGTGTTAAACTCACCCAATATTTTCTCGGGGCGAGAGGCTCGGGGAAAGACGACACAAGCTTAGCCCAAGAAAAACGCCCATTTTCCTTTTTCATTCGTTTTTTATTTTATTTTATTCGAATTATTTTTTTTATTTATTTCCATTGTAAGAACGTCACATTCCTCATTATAATAAGGGGTTAATACCACGAAAAACTCCAAATTGGTACATCTGTGACAATTTTACTTCGAACTATTTTTTTTACCACCAAATACCCCAAACTGGTACACCTGTGATAAATTTATCCAGAACTATTTTTTTTACAACAAAAAACCCTAAACCGGTACACTTGTGACAATTTTACCCCGAACTAATTTTTTGATCATCAAAAACCCCAAATTGATACACATGTGACAATTTTACCCCGAACTATTTTTTTTACCATCAAAAACCCAAACTCGTACATTTGTGACAAATTTACGATCCATTAGTGTCGATTAAATTGGATTAATATCACGAAAAATCATAAATTGGTAAACTTGTGACAAACAGAGGGGTAAAACCCAAAATCAGTACACCTGTTAATTACCACGTGTCATTAAACTTAACAATTTGACAGTAAAATTTGACGAAAACTAACGAAGGGTAAATTTATCACATGTGTAACAGTTTGGGGTTTTTTGTGGTTAAAAAATTAGTTCAAGGGTAAAATTGTCATAGGTGTACCAGTGTGGGGTTTTTTGTGTTCAAAAAAATAATTCGGGGTAAAATTATTGCAGATGTAGCAATTTGGGGTCTTTAATGATCAAAAAAATAATTTGGAGTAAATTTGTCACAAGTGTACCAGTTTGGAGTTTTTCGTGGTATTAACCCTTATAATAAGTGGAACCACATTGTCCCTCCTTGTCAAGGATTTCTTTATTATGAATTAATTTATATTATTTTTTCTTATCTCGAAGTCACATTTTTTTTATTCAATTATTTTTTTAAGCTCCTATTCACACCTAATCTCAAGTCCCGATATAATTTATATACCTTAGTCTACTTCTTGCCCGGTCGTCCTCCTCGAACTCAACAAATGTGTCCTTTATTTCTTTTTTAATGTCATTAAAAAACCACAAACCGATATTCCAATGACATGTTTATATCGAATTAATATTCGGCTCTCGAAAAATCTCAAAGTAATACTTTCATATTTACCTTTTCATTAGTATTCCATCTAATGTTCTGTTGAAATGCACACACATTGACTTACATGGATATTTTATGCCGGATTCGTCATTCTTCACTTCACATTCAGTTCACGTTCAACTGCGTGCGTGTTGGCACTTATGCATTTTAACGGAACACCCGGACGGAATCCTAACAAGTGATAGATTCTATAAAAGAGCACCGATTTGAGATTTTTTGTGAGAAAAAAAATCTCATATCTGGTCCAAACCAGCCCACTCTCTTCTCTCTTGGCGCAGCTCCCTTTTCTTTCGGCCCGACCTTTTTTCCTACTCCCTCCGCCCGACCTCTCCCTCTTCACACTAGGGAGAGGAGCTTCTCGAAGGGGGCTGAGACGGTGAAAGTTTCTCTCTCCAATCAATTCCACACTCAACTTGATAGAGGGGATATTGAATTTATATCTCGAGTTTGAGCACGCCTAACAAATTCACTTTCCTATTTAGCTGATTTCGAACGTGGGGCTCACAGTTATTGGCTTAGCACAAATAGAGAATAAAGAAGGTTACTGAAAGACAAAACAGGGGCACACTTTATCTTAATATATCCATTTCGGTGAGCCCAGGTCAATTTGTTGACTCCTTAGCAGTGAAGGACTTCCCTTCTTGGACGTACAAAAGAAACGTGTGGGGCCACGGAAGTCAAATAAAACGGAAAGCAAAAACAAGGGTTTTTGCCGCATATAAAAAGAAAAGAAATTGAGGGTTTCTTTCCTTCAGCGAAGACCAAAGCCGCACAAAGCAAGACGTACAGAGACGCTCGTAATCAAGCTGCACGAAGGAGGCAGAACGTACAGAGACGCTCTTGAACGTGCGTGTGTTTTGCTTTGGGCTTGAACACACGCTGATTTGTACTATAAGTTTATTTCGTCTAATTGAGTTGTTTATTTATAAATATTTGGGATTTGAGCTTAAATTTAGGCATGGAAAATACTCGAGCGTGTGAGCGAATTATAACTCTGATTTTCCGATTATAGTGAATTATTTATTGATGTCTCTCCCCGTGGATGTAGATACAGATATTCAGATCAAACCACATAAATCTCCAGTATCCTTTATTATTCCTCATTATTTCTCTGGTATTTTCACATTGACTTAATTTGTAAAATCCTGTTGTTTCCTCGTTATATTTCAATAATTGGTATCAAAGCTCGAGGATAGGATTTTTCTGGATTGTAATTTGGGCTTTTGTTTGTTTGATTATTATCTGGGAATTCTGCTATTGCAATTATGTCTGAAGCGAAAGTTGAGATTGAGAAATTTAACGCAAGAAACAACTTTAGGTTTTGAAGCGTCAAGATGCGTGCACTATTGACAATCCAAGGTTTGACCAAGACATTAGATGGCGAAGATGGGTTGCCCACTATAATGAAAGCAACTAATAGGTTAGAGCTAATGGAGAAAGCAAAGAGTATAATCCTGTTGAATTTATCGGATGAGGTGGCTGAGGAGAAGGATATTGCAACGTTATGGGCAAAACTTCAAGGACTCTATGTAATGAAAGGTTTGAAGAATCGCTTGTACATGTTGAAGAGGATGTTTCAGTTTCGATATTCTAAAGGTACGTTGATCAGATCCCACCTAAATAAATTTAATAAACTCATGATGGATTTGAAGAACGTCGGTAAGATACTTGATGATGAAGAGTAGGGCATAATGTTGTTGGCTTCTTTACCGGAATCATGGGAGCACTTTACTGATTCACTACTACAGGGGCGTACTACGATTACCTCGGAAGAGGAAAGTCTACATTGTTCTCTAAAGAGTGGCAAGGGAAGTTATGAGATGACAGTCTAGCACAGGATATAGCACAGAGACTAGTGATTCGAGGTAGAGACCAACATTAAGGGTCCAATAGCAGCAAAAGTAAAAGCAGGTCGAAGTTGTTGGAGAAACATCTCCAAATGAATTTTGATGATACCCAAACTATCGTTGGTATAATATCTACATTGTCTAAGTGCAGATATATTCAAAGGACTAAGTGATACTCATAATGTTATTCATTGAAGAGGAGATCACAAGACTGTCCTTAAAGGATCGTATAAACAGCACCATCGATTTCAAAGATCAACTAAATGACGATGTCTTATTCAAGCTAAAGTGATATAGTAATTGATAATGTTTAGGTAGCTGTTCATTTAATATGATTGTTATGTCCCTAAGGTAGCCGTTGGAACTAGACAGGCACAGCAAAAAATCTGGCAGAAAGGAGAACTGATGATCTTATAGGTAGCCAAAATCGCAGGTACAGTAAAGCAGCAGAAGCTATTTCAGGAAAGTCTGCAGGAGTTCAGAAATAAGCTATATAGGCAATCAGTTCCGAGGACAGCAGCTCCAACGACTCTAATGACTATTTTGCCCCTCCAGGACATCAGCAACAACTAGTTTGAAGATGCCTACAAAAGAGAAGGTCTTTGAAGCCAACAAATTAGAGAGAAAGTGTGTGTGCTTACAATATTTCTGAAATCTCTTACTTGCTAAATACTAAGCAAAAAGCTCCTGCTTGTTGATATCACTTGCTGCATTGTAATTGTATTGAAGTTTCAAGTGTATCAAGTGATAGCAACGTCCATCTCCTAAAAGTGTGATCTACAAACTGATAGGAGTGGTGCTTGCTGAATGTAACTTAATCAGCAAATTATTAGTGCAATCTAGCCCAACTTGTGACTGTTAGTGGTGAGAGTGGACGTAGGCTTGGAATCAAAGCCAAATCACTATATATCCTTGTGTGCAGCTGCTTATACTTCTATTTATCATCTCTAGCATACAAGTGATACATTGTCTCTCATACATATGGTGTTTTTCAATATCTCTTTGTTACACGTTGTTTTCCGTAAAAATTTTAAATTCTTCCAAAGCAACCTATTCACCCTCCTTTAGGTTGCATAGTTAGTCCCAACAATTAATATCAGAGCCTAGTTGCTCGTCTTGTGAAGAGTATTTTTTCTGAGTATAAAAATCTTCTCTTATAGCTAACTTTGGTGGTTTTATCACTAGTGATGCTCTTGTTCCTAACAAGCCACCTTACTTTAATGGAAACAATTACAGCTACTACAAGAACATAATGCAAGCCTATCTTGAGGCAACTGATCTTGAAATATGGGACGTGATCCAACGTGTCGTGAAAGTACCTGCACCTGCTGCTGCTCAAAGAACTGATCAAGAAGTTCTAGCAGAGAATGCTACTGCCAATGTTCCCGCGGCGCATAACACAAAGGAAACACAAAGAAGAAGAACATCACATAATGCTAAAGCTAAACATCTTCTATACAGCTCTTTATCTATGACTGAGTATAACAAAATTTGCACATGTATCACAGCTAAAAAAATATGGGATCTACTGGAACTCACATGCGAAGGGACTGATTGAGTAAAGGAGACGAAACTAAACATCCTTCTTGGACAGTACGAGCTCTTCAAGATGAAATCAGATGAAATAGGTAGCTCAAATGTTCAACAGGTTCATGGACATAGTGAATGGCCTTGCACATCAAGGAAAAATATTCACCAATGGAGAAAATGTGAACAAACTACTGAGAGCCTTACCAAAAGAATGGGACAATGTGAAAACCTCAGTTCGAGAAAAAACAAGGATTCAACCAATCACGTTGGAAGAATTGATCGAAACATTCACATCCTA